GAATTTAATAATTTTATGAAAATAGGTGGTAAGGATTGGAAGAAGATAACTAGAAGAAATGGAATATTAATTTTATATTGAATAATATAGCGAGTAAAATTATTTGTGAATTTTGATTAATAATCTAATTACATATTTTAAAAAATAGATAGTAATTGTTTTGAAAGCTTTTAATGTGGAAATAAAAATATATTTTAATATTTAAAATAGTGAGTAGAATTTTAGTATTAATAAGCTAAAAATAATTAATTATTTTAAATTGTAAACTAGATTGTAAAATATTTAAGTTATTTTAAGAGAAAAAGATATAAAAATAATAAAAATATAGGAAGTAATATTGTTGAGTAGCTATAATTGAAATACTATCAAATATTTAAATATTAAAAATAGCTGGTAATAAATTTACTAAGAATCCAATTAATTAATACCACCTACTTAAATAGATAGTAAACTATTTGAAATAATATTTATTTTCTCATTAAAAATTTGAATATAAAGGGTAAATTTTATATAAAATGTTTGTGACAGAAGATTAAAAGCATAATTAAAATAGTAGAAAGTAATTAATTATTTAGATAGTAATAATTATTTTTTTGATTTATCCTAAAATAATTTAAATATATCTAATATAAATAATTTTATTTTTTAAAAGAGTGAGGCAACACACAATATTAATTAGAATCAGGGAACATAATTCACTAAATCAGAGATGCTCTTTTTTATTTCTTATTTGTATTTTTGTTTGTTATAAAAATATATTAATAACCTGAATTATACTCTAATATTAATTGTAATATTATTTTAGTGATATAAATTTCTATGTTTTATTTTTAGTAATTTAAATTTTAAATATTTTTTTTTTTTTTTTTAAACATGAAAAAAAAATATTTTGATGTAAAAAAATTATGTATTTTTGAAATTATAATAAATTAAAATATTAATTTTAATTCTATTATAAAATATAAAAATCTGATTTTTTAATAAATAATTAAAAAATCTATTTCATTATAATTAATTCCAAACGACGGAATTTTTGAATGGAATCTTGCTATAATATTTAGTTAAAAAACATTATTTGTCTAATTGAAATTATTAATTAATATTTACTACCTAAATCAACTTACTAGCATTTATTTTTATATTAATTTTATTTTTATTGATATTCTAAAGCATTTTATTAACATTTATATCCAAATTAATTTTATTTACATTACCTCCTTAATTTAATTTATTAACATTTATGTTAAAATGTATTTTATTAACAAGATTGCTAATTAATTTTATTAGCATATTATTTTATAATTAGAAATAATATCATAATTTTCATAGCTTGTAATTAATTACTTTTTTATTGATATGCAAATATTTTAAAAAGAATCTCTTGTTTGAAAAATAGAATAAAATATTATTTATCTACTTATTTACTGTTTTGATAATTAAAAAATTTTTTATATTTGTGTTTAATGGATTTTTTAAAAATTTGAATTTAATATATTTAATTTAAAAAAGAAAAGATAGTAAAAAGAAAAAAAAGCAAGCAAATATAAATTTAATAAAGAGGTTTGAATGAAGGACAACCAATAAATTATCAGCGATTCTAAAAGGAAGGAGAAAAAAATCTATATAAATTTTTCAAAATAGGTTAAAACTACTAAATAATATTTTCAAAAGTCATTTTAACTCAGATTCTTCTTTAAAAGGTATCATTTAAAATACTAACGCTAGCTATGATAGAAGAGAAAGTAGAATAAAATTAAATGATGTTGATATTCTCAATTCTAACTTAGATATTCAAATTGTTTCATCAAAACAAATTTAATATTTTAGTTCATTTAAAGAAAATATTAACAATTATATTAACTATGTTCTTTAGTTTTACTTAAAATATCAATTAATTTACACACCAATTTGTAATTTGTGCCAAAAAAGGATGAATTTTCATTTGTAATTATGAATTTTAATCAAACTTTATTTACAAAAAATTTAAAATAATTCTCATTAATTAGCCTTAGCTAGAAAAAGATAGTAATAGATGGTTTTATGTTATTACTTTGAGGTTTTATCCAATATTGTTTTAGGGGAAAATGGTGAGATGGTTGAAATCGACGAATCGCACTTTAAAAGAAAGCAGTACAAGGGCAAAGCTATTTAAAAATTTTAGTGGGTTTTTTTTTGGTTTAACTGAGAGAGGGTTAGGAGTTTTTCAAGAAAAATTCTATTTCCAGTTGAAAAATGAAATTCCTAAACTTTTATAACTATAATAGAATAATATGTTTCTAAAAAATGTACTAAGATATGTACTGAGTCACTCAACAAATTTTGTTGTACCTCACCATAATAATCAAATGGATAATAAAAATATTAAATGTTTAAAGGTCATAAAATAGATGCCTAAACAATAGAAAGTAATTCAAAGCATTAAAATAGAGATTATATATAGACATGTAAAGGAAAATGAATTAATTAATTATTTATCAGACATAAATATACTCATGTTTATTTTATTTGACCTAGAAAGATGACATAGAAAAAACTCTTTAAATCTGATTTCTTAACAAATAATCAAGTAATAAAATGATTAAAATTAATAAAACTAGATCTTATGATATTGAACAATATAAAAGTAATTAATTATATTTGATTATTTTTAATAAATTTTATTAATATTAAATTAATAGTTATTTTATAAATAGTAAATGATGAGGATGAATTTAAAGAAGAATAAGATAATTAAGATGATGATAATGATAATAATAATCTAGAAGGTTAAGGTTTATTTAATTTTCAGCATTAATCATTATTTTCATTAAAATAAATAGAAACATAAGACTAAAATTAAAATCTAGAAAGTGATTCTGTAGATGACAATGATTTAACATAATACAAGCAAATTTAATTTAAGTATAAAGGAATACTCAAGAACATAAAACAAAAATAGAAATAATAAGATTACAGAATTATTAAAATATTGATGTTGATAATTATTTATTAAATATAAAAATTATAATTTTAATGAAAAACTAAAAATATATTAATTTTCATAAATATAATCTATTTATTAGCATATTTGCTAATGTATTTTATTTACATATGTTAATAAATTTCATTAATGAGGTAATGTAAATAAAATTAATTTAAATATAAATGTTAATAAAATGTTTATCTTCTTTGGAAAGTAAATCTTAAAATTATAAAATGTGATTTTATTTTTCAGTATAATAAATAGTTTTGATTTACATTCATTTTATAAGACTGAATTGATTTGATTTAATTATTAAATATATTTAATTGATAAAAAATAAAATTTTTTTCATAAAATCTAACAAATTTCTTCAAATTAAATACTAAAAAAATTTTGTTTAATTTAATAAAACAATATGATAAAAAAATTAAAAAATAGAAAGCATAAAATTAGCTTAAAATCATAAAAATTAAATGAAATTAAAGGATTAGTATTAATATTTTAAATTTAATTACTTAAATAGCTCTAAAGCCAAATGACTTGCTTTCCTCTGGAAGTGCTATATATTTTTAATTGAAAAATAAAATTAAAAAAAATCAATCAGCTTAATTTAATTACTTTTCAGTTATTATTTTTCTACAAAATTTATTAGGGGTATTTCTTTTTATTTCAAAAATACCTTTTACCATTTATTTATTAATTAATTCCATATTTATCTTATTTACTTTATTTAAAATTTTTTATGAATAATATTGATTTTAAATATTTAATTACTACTTCTTTATTTTCATATATAATGAGATTATTTATTTAATTTTTTTTATAAAATAATAGCATTATCATCATAATTTATTTATTTCAATTATTAGTTAATAAAATCTTTATAAAATTATAAATTTGTAAGATTTTACCATAATCTCTCGATTTCTAGGTACTTGGCATTCCGATAGTTCCTAAAACCGAGATACGAAACGACTCAAAATTAAAATAATTTTATTCATATTAGAATTATCTGCAGAAATTAATAATTTTGAAATGATTCCTAATTATTTTTTTTTAAATAATAATTATTTAAAAAAATAGAATTAATAGACTATAGAAAATATATTATAAATAAAACAAATATTCAACTTTTTATCATATATTTTCTGATATCACCACTATTTCCATTAATTTTTTATTTTAAATTGCTACTTTAATTAAAAAGATTTATTTTTGATAATTTAATCTTATACATTATCATAATATTTTCTAAATATACTTGGAGGCTTTTTTTCATTAAAATGTTATTAAATTTATTTTTTAATTTGATTCCAGCAATAGTGGTTTTTTATACACTATTATTTTCATTCTGAGTTAGCTATAAGTCTAAATTATCTTTAATTTCTATTTAATTAGAATTTAAACAAAGAAACTCTTCTTTATCACAACTTATTTATAATTATTCGAAAACTTCTTTTTTTGTTAATGACTCAATTTCACATTCTTCAATTGATTTGTTTGAATCACTATATTCTTTGCCTATTTTTTTCATCATTTATTCAATTTAATCTAATTATTATTGAGTTTTTTATGTTAAGTTTTTAAAAAGTTCATAAGTTTATGCTACGAGCTGAGCCATCCAGGTTAAGTTTTAATTAATTCTTGAATTTCTTAATATTATTAATAATTCTCTTCAACATTTTATATGTCCTTTTCTATTTATTTTTGAATAAAATTTAAATCATTTAATTCAGGGTTAAGTTATTATTATTTAGAATAGTTTAAATTTAATGTGAAGCCACAATATTTAAATTCTTTCCACATTGAATCTTTATTAATATTATTACACGAATTTAGTATCAATTATATTTAAAGATTTTATTAAGTTAGAATAATTTAGTATAAAAGTTATTATTAGCATATTCTTATATCCAGGCATTAAAATATTCTTTGATACTTTTCTTGCAAGGTTTATAAATAGAAACATCAAAGACCTGTATAAAAGATGTACTACCAGCAGGTAATATAAATTCATCAATATGGATATATTTTAAAAAGGAAGAAAGTAGGTTTCATTTTATGAACAGAGCTAGAGTCATGAAGTAGAAGTAAGCAAATCTAGATTTTTTATTTATCATATTCCATGTTATTAAAAAGTGATGAGATATATATCAAGTATAGATTTTCAGTTACCCAAGAATTAGAATTATTAATAGTTAAGCAATATTCTGAAAATATATTTATAACTTTTTTATACTACAGTCATTTACCAATAATCAATAATTGGAGGTAAAATTGTAATACTAATGACAAAACTTAGTACAAATGTGAAACTTTTGTAATTATTAGTAAAACCTCTAACTAAAACTTCTTTTTTTCCTTTTTCATTATTGGTTTTGTCAAAAATTTATAGATAAAGGAGTTTCATCTATATTTATAAAAAGTAATTATTTATTTTATTTAGCTTTTTTAAATTATAATTATTGATATCATATAAAAACTTATCTATATCTAGTTTGACAATTTCATTACATCACTTTTACATAACATATAACATATGTTAGAGTTCGATAAGAGATTCCCCATCGTTTTTTAAATTTTTGAAACCAACCTGAGGATGCTTAGAAATACACACAACTATTTAGCTTATTTTGAAATTTCTTTATATCTTAATGGAATACTTCTTGATCTTTAATATTTGATCCATATTAGAAGAATTATTTCCATTTCTAAACTTAGGTTTTTTATTTCAGTTTGGTTTAGTTTTCATTGATGTCTCATACAATATATCTAAATGTTATTTTCTATAATTTCTTACAGTTTTCTCATTAATTTTTTAAATATTTATTAGCAGTAAAAAAATTATTATTAAACTCCTCCGCTTCTTTGCCAATATATTTTTTATTAAGCATTAGAAAAAGTACCTTAATTTTCTTTCTTTTAAGATTATCAGACATTATCTTATTTATTATTTGATAATTTGTTTTATTAGGTATTCTTTTATTAATGATTAGCTCTAAATCTTGCAATAATATCTTTCTGAAGTTTAGACATTTAATCTTTAAAAACAAGTTTAAGTTTATCAATAAATACATTTATTTATTTTAATCTTTATTGATTTTAATTATTATCAAATCTAAAAAAATCAACTAGTGTATTTTATAAAATCCAATATTTATTTATTAGTATCTCTAATGAGATTTAAACATATTCAGATTTATTTATTTATAAAGTATAATTTTTTATTTTTTAGGAGCTAAAAATTTTTAGCTGTATTTTTTTATTTCAAACGCCTTTAAAAAACAACAATTTAATTTTGAACATCTTCCTTAAATAATATATAGAGAAAAGCTTTCAGTAACACCCTTTTATTAATTATTTTAAATTCTAAATTAGATTGTAAAATATTTGAGTTATTTAAAAGAAATTGATATAAAAATTAAAATAGGAAGTAATTCTATTGAATAATTTAAAATTAAATACAATTAAATAATTTAAATATCAAGAATTATTAGTAATAAATTTACTAAGAATCAAATTAATTCATATCTTCTACTTAAATAATATGTTTTTTATTTATGGTGTTTATACTATGTTTAAAAAAATAGTAAGAGGTTTTTCAGAGTTTATCAAAAGCTTTAGAAACTAAACCTTTCGTCTTTGATTCGAGTATTTAATTAGGAATTTCTTTATAATTAGTTCAAAAAGTAGAAGAGTTTAAGGAGTATTTCTAAAATGCTTTTTGAAATCAAACCATAACAAGTTGAAGTTAATATCAAAGAAAGTAATTTTTAATTGAGCTTAAGTAACACAACTGAAGCTAAGAAATGTTACAGTAAGGCTTTATAAGCTAACTAGAAACGATTTGAATCTTTTATTTTCTTCTTTATTTAAAATTTGAAACTGTATAACCACTTCTACAAAACAAAACAAATGAATATAATATATTCTAACATCTATTGAGGAATCATTTATGATTTTATCAAAATGGATAAAGAAGTCAACAATTTTATTTAAAAGCTTTAGAATTAAAACCAAAATTATTTTAAGCAATCTTTTATTTATTTAGGAGTGGGATAAATGAATGAAAATATTCAAATAGAAGCAGTAACCTTTTTATTGAAAGTTTATGATATTTTTTCAAATTACTTTCAATAAATAAATTAGTAGAACTATTTCCTTTTTAAAAGAAAATAATATGAGGCGAAATATTATTTTTAGTATTCTTATTAAATCAACCCTCAAGATTATAAATAAAAAAATGATATTCTTATATTACTTTAGTTATGTAAAACTTCAAAGTAAAATTATTACCATTTATACTTTTTATTAATTCCTTATTTTTTTCTAAATTTTTTGTTTGGATTTTTTTAATCTTTAACTCAAATCATATTCATGTAAGAAAAAAGTGTATTGATTTTTAATAATCCTATTTTTTCTAAAAAATATTTTTCGTACCCAATCTCTAAATATATATTCTTCTTTTACTTTATTTTTAAAATATATAATAAAATCCTTTTTAATATATTTAGATAAGATAAATCATATTATTAACTAATAAATAAGAAAAATAGTCAATTACATTAAAATAGATGGCGAAATAAAAAATATATCAACCAAAAGCTCTTTATTGATTAATCAAAAAGACTATTGAAAACATTTTAGTAGATCAATCATCTCAGGTACTACTTAGTTTGAATTTAGAAGATAGATACATATATGCGATTTAGGAAAATTAAGTTTACATATATGATGATTATGATTTTGAAATAAATATGGTCTAATAGCAACTTTAAAAATCATTTTTGGAGTTATTGCTTATACTCTTCCACAGAAAAGTAAAGAAATGACAAATGATGTTAAATTTTTAAAAGATTAGCAAAAATTTAGAATGCAAATTGAGTAAGAACCTAACAAAATTTGAAAATTATTGCTTTTTTTGTCTGAAAAAGTATGTTTAAGTTTAGAAAAACTATGTTTTCAACCTCTAGCAAAAATGGAAAAAAGGAGTAACAATCTCATCATTTGAGTTTAAGGTAAATATGTTTTATGGTTTTATATGATTTTTAATTCTAAATTAATAAAAAAATAGGCTTAAGCAAGTTTAAAATATCTATTATTTCCTAAATAAACCATTTTTATTGTTGAGAGAGAAATAAATAGATGAAAAATATATATCTACCATTATTATAGAAAAAAAGCAAGCAAAGATAAATTATTTTATTTAATTGAGTTGACTTTACAAAATAAATGCTAAATCATATAAAATATTTAAAGATTTGAATAAAATAACTCTAAAAATGTTCTTTCTAGCTTCATTTTAGCATGCTTAGATACTTAAAAAGCTTTCCTCAGAATTATACTTAAAATCCAATGTAGAAAAAAGTTGAAAAAGGTGTTGAGATATCTGCGAAAAATAATTTCCCTAAAAAATCATATTAATAATATAATTCTAAGTAATTAATGCTTATATATGTTAATGATTTTATTCATATTTAGAATTATTTATTAATTATATTTACTTTTTTTAAAATAAAATAAAACTTCATTCTTATGATTCTTTTTAATTTACTTAGAGATAAATAATATTCTTCTTATTTTTCCCCCTCATTTACTTACTATTAATCATTTAAAACGTTAGTATCTATTTATTTTTCATTCATATTTATTTTCAAAAGTCATTAATGACATTAGAATATTTTATCCTTTTATGACATTCGATAATTATTATAAACATATTTGCATTACTTCCTTCCCTTAACGAAATCTATTTTTAGCTAATATTTTGATTTTATATAAAGAAAACCATTTACAACAATAAAAACCATAATCAGTTGATAGAATGTTTCATGGCTAGATAATACTAAAACTACTATAAATATAATTACATTAAACTTTTTATGATATAAATAGGTGAGAATTTCTTATACAGTAAACAAGTTAATAAGAAAATATTTAAAGCAGTAAAAAGATAATAGCATTGTATTTTGTAGATATTTCAGTCTAATAGACAAATTATTTAGAGGGAGTTTCATACATAAAGTCAATTAAAGAAAAAGGTGTTTACTAAGATTTTTTGTATATTGGCTAAGTAAATTATTAGGTTTTTTACACTGAAATTATATTTTTCATATCATTTAGTGATTGATGTTTTGTTAAAAATAAATTCTATTGATAAAATTTTAAAGGATAAAAAATAACTTATAGGTTAGATTATTTGCTATTTACTGCTGGTTATTTTCAAAGAAACTTTATTCTTTCTGATAATAAAAAAGGTTAAATAAAATTGTATCTAATATTCGTTAATTCCATTATCTATATTATAATTTTTAAGTTTATTTTGTTATTTGATACTTTATATTTAAAATCAAGTATATTAATTGACCATATTTTAATTTTAATGATGAAATTTTTTAGAATAATAAATCATTTTGGTTTAGAAATTAACACAATGCTAATTTCTGTTTAAAGTCATGCATTTTTTCTTTTTTTAAATATAATTTGAGAAATTTGATTAAATTTTATTCAGGATATAAAAAGCTTAAATTTTAAAAGTGAAATATATATGTTAATAATATTTAAAGTTAGAAAATTTGTCCTTTTTTACAGTTTAAATAGAGAGATTTTTGAGGCCTAATATTCGTCTTTTGGTTATCTGTTTTGTAAATTTATATTTTTTATGTATTCTCTTATCTGATAGATGATGTCATTTATATTGTATGATTATTGAAAGTTGGCAAATATAAATTTTATAGATTATATATGATGCGATATGTAATATTTATAATTTCTGTAAAAGAAAATTGGTGTCTGTTAAATATTCTAATTGCAAATTTACTAATTTATACCAGTTTTTAACAAAAAATAAACATTTAAAAATTAAGAAATATTGTTTGTTGGAACATAATTAATTTATTCAAATTAATTTGTTCGATTAAAAAAAAATTGTAATATTAAAAATGAATATTATCAGCTAAAATCCCAAGGCTTCTTAAGAGTCTAAACAAAAATTGGCATAACATCTTCAAAACAGGAAGTAAGTCAAAGAAATGTATAAAATGAAGGGTGTCCAAATGCTTGATAAACCTGAACTAATGAGTAAATGAGATTTAAATCATAATAATATTTTGTGACTTCGATCCATAAATATATCTGTTAATGCATTAATTACTATTTGCTAAATTTAAAATTAAAAACATTTTAATAATTAAAACAATCAATTAATCAATAAATTAACTAATTAATTAATTTATGCCAAATTTAGTAAATTTTTAAATTGATAAACCAAAAGTTTCTGACATCAAAGAACCTAAGTTGAAATCTTAACAAGCTTCAATGTATTACTCTATGAAAATTGAATTAACTGAAAAAGGCTACTCTGATTTTAGGTTTTTAGGGTAGGGAGCACAAGGATTAGTCTTGTTAGCAAAAAATTTGAAAAATTAAATGAGATATGCCATCAAAGGTGTTTAAGTGAGAGATCCTTAGGGAAATCTTTATGATGAAGCTTTTAATAAAGTGGTATAAGAAATAGATATACTCAAACAATGTAGAGGCTCTCCTTACGTAGTCAGTCTTTTAGACTCATTTGATGGAAAATAGTTCATGTACTTAGTTCTAAATGAGTGTTAGGGTACAAAATATTTTAATATTTATCTATTTTACCTTATTATTAAATAAATATAAATACAAATTAACTATTTAACCAATTTTATAGATAATTTTTATTGTATGGTACAAAAAGGAACTCTGAAAGAAATCATAGAAAGGAACTAAAACAAAAGACTGAATGAAATATCAGCAATCAAATACGCTAAAGATATTACTGAAGGCCTTTACTACATTCACTCTAAGAACTGTCTTGTTAATGATCTGAAAATGGACAATATCTTAATTGACTATAATGGAAATGCAGTTGTTTGTAAATTATTAGCAAATCTAAAGAAGACTTGATACTCAATATAATTAATATACAGCCGATTTTGGATTAGCAGATAAACTGACAGCTAAATCTGGTTATTCAACCAATCAATATGTATAAATTAAAGTTTTTCTCAATACTAAAAAGAAATTTAATTAACTCAATTCAACAAATTATAAGATGGGAAACTTTATTTTTCAAGCACCAGAATGCTATGACCCAAATGACTAAATCATAGGTAAGGTTTATTATGATGAATATAAAAAACTAGGGGTATAAGTCAAACAAGAACCAAGTAACAGAGTAAATACTTTAATTAAACTAATTAAACGTTAATTATCTTGTTTTTGTAAATTTATTAGAGCGAAGCATGTTCTTTAGGTATTAAATAAAATAAAAAATCTACTGGTTTCATTTATCTAATTTAAAATATAATATATATAGGTTATATAATTTATTCTCTTGTTTAGGGAATAGATTTCAACTTAGTGCTTAATAAGCATAGGCCATTGAATTATGATGGTGAGTTTTAAAATTTTGTTTATCACAAAAACCTTTAATAACTTATTGATGGATTAACTTAATTTGTCCCAAGGAATAGATTGCCCATTAAAGAGGCTTTAATTGTTTTAAAAGGAATTATTTGTTTTGAATTTTAGTTAGACGATGTGCTTATTTAGATGATAGATGGAGATACTCAACAACACGCTAGTTCACTCAAAAATGAAATCGAGTTCATTTAGGATTTGTCAAATAAGTTTTATCCTATCATGTAAGAAGATTTTAAATCTACTGCTTTTTCTAACTTTTTTCAAGTAAAAACTAGAAGAGTTTAATCGAAGAGTTGAAAGAAGACCCTCAAAAAATATTTTATGTTATTAATCAAAATTTTGTTTATTCTATCCTCAATTTAATTAAGTTAATTCATCAAAAAGGAGGCAAAAATAGCAGAATTAGAGTAAGCAAATTTCATACTTAAAGAGACTATTAGCTAATTAGAAGAAAAAATTAAAGCTTCAGTAGACAAGTAGCAAAAATAGGAGGAAATACTAAAAGTTTAATAGAGTTTAATCTAAGAGTAGATAGAAGACCCTTAAAAAATACTTTATGTTATTAATCAAAATTTTATTCAATATATTCTCAATTTAATTAAGTTACTTTATTAAAAAGGAGGCAAAAATAGCAGAATTAGAGTAAGCAAATTTCATGCTTAAAGAGACTATTAGCTAATTAGATGAAAAAATTAAAGCTAAAATAGACAAATAGCAAAAGTAGGAGGAAAAATTAAAAGATTAATTTTAATTATAAAAAAAATGTTTTTAAATAAAAAGCTCAATAAAAATATTATTTAAATAGAGAGTATTCACTTTTAATCATTTAAAAAAAATTCTTTAATTTTAATACTTAATAGCATATAAGTTATTTTAAAGGTTTCTTTATTAAGAAAAAAAACTTATTTCTAGTTTAATAAACAACAAATAATATCTAGCAATTTCTTTTTATTAACTTCGTCTAAATAAGCTTTTATTTAAAATTAATTAGAAAGTAATATCTTTCTATTGCTTTTATCTTTAGATTATTTATTTTTTCTCTTCCTAAAATAGCAAGTACCTTATTTAAATCATAGATTTCATTTTTAAATCATTCAAATTTATTTTAGTTAACAAAAAAAGATGTAATTTTTTGCAATTAACTTTTATTTTATATCCTAAATTTTATTTATATATTAAACAGGAAGTAAATAAACGCGAAAATCAAGATTATAAATTAATTATCATATTCTTTTAGAGGGTCACATTTTTATATTCATAACTAATACTCAATTTTAATCTTTCACTTACTTAAATAGATTGTAATTTCTCATACATTAATTAAAATAAAGTACTAATCTACTTACATTTACAAAATAGCATGTAATCCTTTTGATCTCAAATTAATGAATTTATTTTCAAAATAAAAACAGGTATAATTTTTGATATTATTATAAATATTACAATATCTTTTGTATTAAAAATAGAGAGTAATTAAAATATCAAAATGGTTTTTGATGAGAGAATAGATGCTGAATTAACTTTCTTATTCAAAAATAGGAGGTACTTAATATTTTAGAAAATGATATTTTATGAGAAAATAAATTCTGAATTAACTTTCATATTTTAAATAGGCAGTAATTTATTTTTAAGAAGATTTTTGAAGAGAAAATAAATGCTGAATTTATTTTCAAATTAAAAATAGGATGTAATTAATATTTTAGAATGATTTTTGATGAGAAAATAAATGCTGAATCAACTTTTTTATTCAAAATAGCAAGTAATTAATATTTTATAATGATTTTTGATGAGAAAATAAATGATGAATTAACTCTCATATTCAAAATAGGATGTAATTAATAGTTTAGAATGATTTTTAATGAGGTGATAAATAATGAATTAACTTTTTATTCAAAATAGAGTGTAATTAATATTTAACAATGATTTTTGATGAGAAAATAAATGATGAATTAACTCTCATATTCAAAATAGGATGTAATTAATAGTTTAGAATGATTTTTGATGAGATGATAAATACTGAATTAACTTTCTTACTCAAAATAGTGGGTAATTAATATTTTAGAATGATTTTTGATGAGAAATAAATGCTGAATTAACTTTCATATTTTAATAGAATGTAATTATTATATTATTATGGTTTTTTATGAGAAAATAAATGATGAATTTAAATTGCTAATCAAAATAGTGGGTAATTAATATTTTAGAATTCTTTTAGATTAGAAAATAAATGCTGAATTAACTTTCATATTCAAAATAGGAGGTATTAATATTTAACAATGATTTTTGAAGAGAAAATAAATGCTGAATTAACTTTCATATTCAAAATAGATTGTAATTAATTTTTGATGAGAATATTAATGCTGAATTTACTTTATTATTCAAAATAGTGGGTAATTAATATTTTAGAATGATTTTTGATGAGAAAATAAATACTGAATTAACTTTCTTATTAAAAACAGTGGGTAATTAATATTTTAGAATGATTTTTGATGAGAAAATAAATGCTGAATTAACTTTCAATATCAAAATAGCATGTAATTTATATTTTAGAATGATTTTTGATGAGAAAATAAATGTTGAATTAACTTTCATATTCAAAATAGACTGTAATTAATATTTTAGAATGATTTTTGATGAGAAAATAAAATGCTGAATTAACTTTCTTATACAAAATAGATTGTAATTAATATTTTAGAATGATTTTTGATGAAAAAATAAATACTGAATTAAATTTCATATTAAAATAGAGCGTAATTAATATTTTAGAACTATTTTTGATAAGAAAATAAATGCTGAATTAAATTTCATATTCAAAAAGAGCGTAATTAATATTTTATAAAGATTTTAAAATAAAGGCTGATTTAACTTTCTTATTCAAAATAGTGGGTAATTAATATTTTAGAATGATTTTTGATAAGAAAATAAATTCAGAATTAACTTACTTATTCAAAATAGAACGTAATTAATATTTTAGAATAATTTTTGGTAAGAAAATAAATGCTGAATTAACTTTAATATTCAAAAAAATAGACTGTAATTAAGATTTAGAATGATTTTTGAGTAGAAAATAAATACTGAATTATATCTCATATTCAAAATAGATTGTAATTAATATTTGAGAATGATTTTTGATAAGAATTAACTTTCAAATTCAAAATAGACTGTAATTAATATTTTAGAATGATTTTTGATAAGAAAATAAATGCTAAATTATCTTTCACATTAAAAATAGCATGTAATTAATATTTAACAATTATTTTTGATGAGAAAATAAATGCTGAATTGACTCTCATATTCATATTAGGATGTAATTTATTGATTTGAATGATTTTTGATGAGAAAATAAATATTGAATTAAACTTTCATATTCAAAATAGCAAGTAATTAATATTTTAGAACAATTTTTAATGAGAAAATAAATGCTGGATTAACTCTAATATTCAAAATAGCAAGTAATAATTATTATAGCTTTATTTTTGATGAGAAAACAAATGCTCATTTAAATTTTTTATTCGAAATAGGGGGTAATTAATATTAAACTATGATTCTTATTAGAAAATAAATGCTGTATTAACTATCTTATTCAAAATAGGAAGTAATTAATATTTTAAAATGATTAATGATGAGAAAATGAATGCTGAATTAACTATTATATTAATAATAGGATGTAATTTATTGTTTAGAATGAATTTTTATGAGAAAATAAATGTATAATTTAATATTCAAAATAGCAAGTAATTAATATTTTAGAACGATTTTTAATGAGAAAATAAATAGTGAATTAACTCTAATATTCAAAATAGCAAGTAATCATAATTAAAGCATTATTTTTGATGAGAAAACAAATGCTGAATTAAATTTTTTATTCGAAATAGTGAGTAATTAATATTAAACTATGATTCTTATTAGAAAATAAATGCTGTATTTACTATCTTATTCAAAATAGGAAGTAATTAATATTTTAAAATGATTAATGATGGAAAATGAATGCTGAATTAATTTTCATAATCTAAATAGATTGTAATTAATATTTTAGAATGATATTTGATGAAAAAATCAATAAAGAATTAACTTTCATATTCAAAATAGAGAGTAATTAATATTTTAAAATGATTTTTAATAAGAAAATAAATTTTGAATTTACTTTTTTATTCAAAATAGTGGGTAATTAATATTTAACAATCATTTTTAATGAGAAAATAAATGCTGAATTAACTTTCATATTCAAAATAGGCTGTAATTAATATTTAATAATCATTTTTAATGAGAAAATAAAAACTAAACTAACTTTCATATTAAAAATAGTATGTAATTCATATTTGATAAAAAAATAAATGCTGAATTAACTTCATATTTAAAATAGATGGTAATTAATATTTTAGAATGATTTTTAATGATAAAATAAATGCTGAATTAATATTTTTATGAAAATAGCTTGTAATTAATATTTTAGAATGATTTAGGTAAGAAAATAAAAGATGGATTAACTTTGTTATCAAAATAGAATGTAAATAATATTTTAGAATTATTTTTCAAAAGAAAATTAAAATTGTATTAAACTTTAAATTCAAAATAGCGGGTAATTAATATTTTAGAATGATTTTGATGAGAAAATTAATGTTGAATTAACTTTCATAATCAAAATAGCATGTAATTAATATTTTAGAATGATTTTTGATGAAAAAAATAAATGCTGAATTAACCCTCATATTCAAAATAGCACGTAATTAATATTTTAGAATGACTTTTGATGAGATTATAAATACTTAATTAAATTTCATATTCAAATAGCATGTAATTAATATTTTAGAATGATTTTTGGTGAGAAAATAAATGCTGAATTTACTTTCATATTCAAAATAGACTGTAATTAATATTTTAGAATGATTTTTTATGAAAAAATAAATGCTGAATCAATATTTTTATGAAAATAGCTTGTAATTAATATTTTAAAATGATTTTTGTTGAGAAAATAAAAGATGGATTAACTTTGTTATTCAAAATAGTGGGTATTACTATTTTAAAATTATATTTTATGAATTAATGTTCATATACAAAATAGCATGTAATTAATATTTAACAATGATTTTTGATGAAAAAATAAATTAACTTTCTTAATCAAAATAGTGCGTAATTAATATTTTAAAATGATTTTTAAAATAATTGCTGAATTAACTTTCTGATACAAAATAGATTGTAATTAATATTTTAGAATGATTTTTATTGAGAAAATAAATACTGAACTAACTTTCATATTCTAAATAGAATGTAATTAATATTTTAGAATGATTTTTGATAAGAAAATAAATTCTAAATTATTTTAAATATCCTAAATAGACTGTAATTATACAATAATTTTTGACAAGAAAATAAATGCTGAATTAACTCTCATATTCAAAATAGGATGTAATTATTAATTTAGAATGATTTAATATGATAAAATAAAGGCTAAATTAATTTTCATATTCAAAATAGACTGTAATTAATATTTCAGAATGATTTTTGATAAGAAAATAAGGGCTAAATTAACTTTCATTTTTAAAATAGGATGTAATTATTATTTTAGAATGATTTTTTTGTTAAAATATATGCTTAATTTACTTTCATATTCTAAATAGGAAGTAATTAACATTTTAAAATAATTTTTGATGAGAAAATAAATGCTTAATTAATTTTAATATTCAAAATAGAACGTAATTAATATTTTAGAATTTTTTTTATGATAAAATTCCAAATTATTTTTAATATTCTAAATAGACTGTAATTAATATTTTAGAATGTTTTGATAGGTTATAAGCGTTGAATTAATTTTAACTTGGTATTTAAAATAGACTGTAATGAATATTTTCGAATGATTTTAATGATAAAATAATACTTAATTTACTTTAATATAAAAATAGCATGTAATTAATATTTTAGAATGATTTTTGATGAGAAAATAAACTCTAAATTAACTTTTCTATTTAAAATAGAGTGTAATTAAAATTTTAGAATGATTTTTGATGAGAAATTAAATGCTGAATTAACTTTCATATTCAAAATAGACTGTAATTAATATTTAACAATCATTTTTAATGAGAAAATAAATGCTGAATAAATTATCTTATTCAAATTAGTTAGTAATTAACATTTTAGAACGATTTTTAATGAGAAAATGAATGCTGAATTAACTTTATTATTCAAAAAAGTGGGTAATTAATATTTTAGAGTTATTTTTGATGAGAAAATAAATAATTAATTAACTTTTATATTCAAAATAGATTGTAATTAATATTTTTAGAATGATGTTTGATGAGAAAATAGATGCTGAATTAATTTTCATATTAAAATAGAGAGTAATTAACATTTTAGAATGATTTTTGATGAGAAATTAAATGCTTAATTAACTATCATATTCAAAATAGGATGTAATTAATGTTTTAGAATGATTTTTGATGAGAAAATAAATCTTGAATTAACTTTCATATTAAAAATAGGATGTAATTAATATTTTAGAATGATTTTTCATGAGAAAATAAACGCTAAATTAACTTTTATATTCAAAATAGGAAGTAATTAATATTTTTAAATGATTTTTGTGACACAATAAATGATGAATTAATTTTCATATTCTAAATAGAAAGTAATTAATATTTTAGAAAGACTATTGATGAGAAAATAAATGCCGAATTATTTTTAATATTTAAAATAGACTGTAATTAATATTTTAGAATCATTTTTGATGAGAAATTAAATATAGAATAATAAATATTGAATTAACTTTCATATTTAAAATAGGATGTAATTAATATTTTAGATTGATTTTAATGAGAAAATAAATTCTAAATTTACTTTTTTATTCAAAATAGGCAGTAATAAATATTTTAGAATGATTTTTGATGAGAAAATAAATGCTGAATTAACTTTCATATTCAAAATAGGAGGTATTAATATTTAACAATGATTTTTGAAGAGAAAATAAATGCTGGATTAACTTTCATATTCAAAATAGAGCGTAATTAATATTTTAGAATGACTTTTTATGATAAATAAATGATGACTAAAACAAAAATTAAAAAGAGTGAGTAAAATTGAGGAACGTTTTTAATTCAAAATTATTGAATTTAATAATTTTATGAATAATAGGTGGTAATGATTTGTAGAAGATAAATAAATAGAAGATATAGAATATATATTTTGTATTGAAAAATTTAGCGAGTAAACTTTTATTATATTAATTTGAATTAATAATTTGAGTTAATCTTTTTAAAAATAGATAGTAATATTTTTGAAAAGTTTAATAGTGTTATAAAAATAAAATTTAATATCTAATTCAGTGAGTAAGTATTTAACATAATTAATTAATTAATTAATTTAAACTGTAAATTAGGTTGTAAAATATTTGAATGATTTAAAAAGAAAATGATAGAAAAACTAAAATAAAATAGGAAGTAATATTGTTAAATAGCTAAAATTAAAATCCTATCAACCAATTCAAATTTCAAAAATAGTTGGTAATAAATTTACTAAGAATCTAATTAATTAATACCTCCTAATTTAATAGAAAGTAAACTATTTGAAATAATATTTATTAATTTTCTCATTTAACATTTTAATAAATTAGGGTAAATTTTATATAAATTATTTGTGGCAGAAGACTAAAAGCATATTTAATATAAATTAAAATAATAGAAAGTAATTAATTAATGATTTATATGATGTTAATTATTTTTCTCATTTATTTTTAAAACCATCTAATATAATTAATTATTTCCTTTAAAAAAGTCAGGAAGCACACAACAATATTTGTTTAGAATAATGGAACACAATTCAAGAAATCAGTGATACTCTTTTTTTTATATATATTTTTTTGTTTGTTATAAAAATAAAGTAATAACCTGAATTACTATACTCAATATTAAATTTATTATGATTTAGTGATATAATTTTTATGTTTTCTATATTGTCGTTTAAATTTAAATATTTTTTTTTTTAATATGAAAAAAATAGTATTTTTAGATATAATTCAACAAATATTTAAATTATTTTAAATTACAATAAACTGATTAATCAAAACTTCAAAAAAAATTTTTTTAAAATAAAAATACATTCAAAATTATTTCAAATTATTTTTTTTAATATGTATTTATGAAAATAAAAAATTGTTTGTCTTGAATTAAATATTATACTCCTGAATTACTTTTGCTATTAATATTTTTAAGTAATGATTGCAAATATCTATTGAAATTTAAAAAACAACAAATTTGATTTTGAACCTCTTCCTTAAATAACATATTGAGAAAAATTATAGGCAACGCCCTATAATTAATTGTTGTAAATTATAAATTAGATTGTAAAATATTTGAATAATTTAAAAAGAAAATGATATAAAAATTAAATAGGAAGTAATTTTGTTAAATAAATTAAAATACTATCAACCGATTTGAATATCAAAAATGGTTAGTAATAAATTTACGAAGAGACAAATTAATTCATATCTTTTACTTAAATAATCTATTTTTTATTTAGGACGTTTGTACTAAGTTTAAAAAAAGAGTTAAAGGTTATTCAGAGTTTCTCAAAAGCTTTAGACTTTGATTCGAGTGTTTAATAAGAATTTCTTTTTTATTAGTTGGAAAAGTAGAAGAGTTTAAGGAGTATTTATAAAAGGTTTTTTGAAATAAAACCATAACCAGTTGGAGCTTATATCAAGTAAGTAATTTTTAATTGAGCTTAAGTAATTCAGCTTAATCTAGGAAATGATACAATAAGGTTTTTTAAGTTAACCAGAAACAATTTGAATATTTTCTTTTCTTCTTAATTTAAAGTTTGAAACTCTATAACTACTTCTATAAAGCAAATGAATATAGTGTTTATTCTAACATCTTTTGAGGAGTCATTGATTATTTTATCAAAATGGATGAAGAAATCATAAAATATTAATTAAAAGTCGTAGAATTAAAACCAAAATTATTTTAAGGAATTGTTTATTTAGGAGAGGGATAAATGAATGAAAATATTTAAAAAGAAGCTGTAACCTTTTTATTGAAAGTTTATGATATTTTTTCAAATGATTTTCAAGCAAATAAGTTAGTAGGATTATTTCATTTATTAAATGGAAAATAATATGAGGCAAAATATTATTTTTAGTATTCTTATCATTTTTATTTTTTCTAAAAAATATTTTTTGTGCCCAATCTCTTCATATTTATTCTTCATTTTCTTTATTTAAAATATATAATAAAATAAATTCCTTTCTTAATACATTTAGATTAAATTAATAATATTATTAACTAAAGTATACCAAAAATAGTCAATTTCTTTAAAAAAGATGGCGAAATAAAAAATATATCTACCAAAAGCTCATTATTGATTAATCAAAAAGACTATTGAATAAGTTTTATTAGACCAATCATCTGAGGTACTACTTAGTTAGAATTTAGAAGATAGGCACACTTATACCATTAAGGGAAATTAAGTTTAAATAAATGATGATTGTGTTTTGCAATAAATATGGTTTAGTTTAAAAATAATTTTTAGAGTTATTGTGCTTACCTTTCTAAAGAAAAGTAAACAAATGATAAATAATACTAAATCTCTAAAAGATTTAGCAGAATTTAGAATGCGAATCGAGAAAGAACCTAACAAAATTCGAAAATTCTTGCTTTTTTGTCTGAAAAAATATGCTTAAGTTTAGAAAAGCTATGTTTTCTCTCTCTCTTACACAAATCGAAAAAAGGAGTAAAAGTCTAATGATTTGAATTTAAGGTAAATAAATTTTCATGATTTTATATTATGGTTAATTCTATACTTTAAAAAATAGGCTTATAGAAGTTTAAAATATCTATTATTTCCTAAATTATAGGCCATTTTTATCACTGAGAGAGAGATGTAATGATGAAAAAAATATATATACGATTACGAAAGAAAAAAAGAAAGCAAAGATAGATAATTTTATTTATTTTAATTGGTTTTACAAAATAAATGCTAAATCAGATAAAATATTTGAAAGATTTTAGTAAAATAGCTCTAAAAATATTCTTTTTAGCCTCATTTTAGTATGCTTAAGCACTTAAAAAAGTTATCGTTAAAATTATATTTAAAATCCAAGGTAGAAAAAGTTGAAAAAGGTGTTGATTGAGACAAAAGCAAAAAATAATTTCCATAAAAAATAATATTAATAATAAGATACTAAGTAATTAATGCATATATGTTAATGATTTTATTCAATATTTACAAGTTTTTGTAAATCATATTTACTGCTTTTTAAAAATAAAACAAAGCTTCATTCTTATGATTCTTTTTAATTTATTTTGAGATATTTAATATTCTTTTATTATTTCCCCCTTATTTAATATTAATAATTTAAAATGTTAGTATCTATTATTCATTCATTTTTGATTTTAAAAGTTATTTATGAAAATAGAATATTTTATTCTTAAAAGCATTGGTTAATTATTATAAACATATTTGCATTATTTTCCTTAACTGGATCTATGCTTAGATAATAATTAGATAGTCATTTAATCTTAGTAAAGGAGGAAAATTTGATTTGATAAATATTCTAATAGCTATTTAATATTTTTTATATTGAAAGCAAACCCTTTCTAACAATAATAATGATAATCAGTTGATAGAATGTTTCATAGATCCTTTATGTTAAGCAACTGCATGTTTAATTATATCAAATTTTATGATATAAGATGGTGATAATTTCTATTAAAGCAAATAAGCTAATAAGAAAAATAAAAAAATAAATAAACGCTTTAAAAGGAAGTATAACCTAGGACACTATAGAGGCTAACTATGTTTTAATGGTAATGATTAAAGGAAATATATTTTAAAAGTACCTTAATGTTTTATATATCAGATAGAAAAGAAGAAATTTTGTTACATATTTTTTAACTATTGATATATTATGAGTTTTTCTTAAAAATTATTTTGTGTTTCCAACTTTTTGAAAACCACAATATATTTTTCAATTTTTTGTTTTTGTTTAAAATTAATTTTTTTAAGTTTTAACTCAAATCACATGTAAGAAATTAGTTTTCTCATTTTAATAATCCTATTTTTTCTAAAAATTATTTTTCTTAAAAAATCTCTAAATATTGATTCTTATTTTTATTTATTTAAAAGATATAATGAAATTAATTATTAATACATTTACATTAGATAGATAAATCATAGTAATTAATAAAGTTTTAAGAAAACAGTCAATTATATTAAAATAGATGGCAATATGAAAAATATAGCAAATAAAGCTTTTTATTGATTAATCAAAAAGACTATTGGATAAATTTTAGCACATGAGCCATCTCAAGTACTACTTAGTGTGAATTTAGAAGACAGGCACATATGCGTCATTAAGGGAAACTAGGTTTAAATGAATGATGATTGTGCTTTTGCAATAAATATGGTCTAATAGCAACTTTAAAAATCATTTTTGGAGTTAATTTTTTGTCCATCCATAGAAAACTAAATAAATAACAAATAACAATAAACTTCTAAAAGATATAGCAGAAATTTAGAATGCGAATTGAGTAAGAACCTAACAAAATTACAAATTAATGGCTTTTTTGTCTGACAAAGAACCTTTTAATTTAGAAAAGTTATGTTTTCAACCTCTTGCACAAATGGAAAAAAGGAGTAATAATCTCATGATTTGAATTTAAAATAAATACATGTTTATGGTTTTATATTATGGTTAATTTTAAATTTAAAAAAAATAGGCTGAAACAAGTTTAAAATATTTATTATTTCCTAAATAGGCCATTTTATCGCTGGCAAACAGATTTTTAGATCAAAAATATATATTGAGAATTTTTATAGAAAAAATGCAAGCAAAGATAAATAATTTTATATATTTTAATTAGCTTTTTAAAATAAATGCTAAATCGGACAAAATATTTGAAAGATTTTAACAAAATAGCTTTAAAATGTTCTTTCTATCCTCATTTTTGCATGCTTAGATACTTAAAAAAGCTTTCCTCTGAATTATATTTAAAATCCAAGGTAGATAAAAGTTGAAAAAGGAAATGATTGAGACATCAGCGAAAAAGAATTTCCATAAAAATAATATTAAAAATATAATTCTAAGTAATTAATGCATATTTGTTAATGATTTTATTCATTATGTTGAAGTTTTTTGTTTATCATATTTCCTACTATTTAAAAATAAAATAAAGCTTCCTTCTTTTGATTCTTTTTAATTTACTTTGAGATATTTAATATTCCTTTTATTTTTTTCACCTCATTTACTATTAATAATTTAAAATGTTAGTATCTATTTATTATTCATTCATATATATTTTCAAAAGTCATTAATGACATCAGAATATTTGATTCTTTTATGACGTTGGATAATTATTATAAACATATTTTCATTACTTCACTTTAAAGGAATCTATATTTAGCTAATAATTAGAGAGGTGTTTAGTCTAAGTAAAGGAGGAAAATTTGATTTGATTAATATTCTAATAGCTATCTAATTAATATTTTTTATATTGAAAGAAAACCATTTCTAACAATAAAAATAATAATCAGTTGATATAATGTTTCATAGCTAGATTATGCTAAAATATCTGCATTTATAATTATATCAAACTTTTTATGGTATAAATAGGTGAGAATTTCTTATACAGTAAATAAGCTAAAAAGGAAAATATTTAAATCAGTAAAAAATAATAGTTTGGATTTTGTAGATATTTCAGTCAAACAAACAAATTATTTAGAGGGAGTTTCATACATTAATTCAATTTATGGAAGAAAAAGGTGTTTACTAAGATTTTTTTGTATATTTCTTAAGTAAGTTGCTTTACATTCAAATAATCTATTTAGTAGCATTTAGTGATTGATGTTTTATTAAAAATAAATTCTGTTGATAAAATTTTAAAGGATAAAAAATAACTTCTAGGTTGGATTATTTGCTTTTTATAGCTAGTTATTTTTAAAAGAAATTGAATTCTTTCTGAGAATAAAAATGTTTAAATAATATTGCATCTAATATTTATTAATTCTATTATCTATATTATAACTTATTAGTTTATTTTGTTGATTTATACTTTATATTTATAAGCAAATATACTAATTGACCTTATTTTAATTCTAACGATGAAATTATTTAGAATAACAAATAATTTTGGTTTAGAAATCAATAAAATGCTAATTTATGTTTATAGTCATACATTTTTTCTTCTTTTAAAATTTAACTTGTGATAAATTTGGTAACTAAATTTCATTTATTAGATGAACTATGCTATAAATTATACTTTTGTTTTGCTATTATATTTTATAATCTAAAATTAGATTCCTAATACAATATACTAATATTTCATTATTCTGAAGATAAATGGCAAATTTTATTCAGGATATAAAAAGATTAAGTTTTAAAAGTGAAATATATTTGTTAATATTTATTTAAAGTTAAAAATTTTGTCCTTTTTTACAATTTAAATGATAAAATTGTAGAGGCCTAATCTTCTTCGTTGGCTAGTTGTTTTGTAAATTTATATTTGTTATGTACTCGCTTATCTGATATATGATGTCATATTATATTGTATGATGATTCAAATGACGATCCAAAGTATGCAGATATAAATTTTATTGATGTAATTATCTAAAATAATACGTAATATTTATAATTTATATAAAAGAAAATTTTTGTCTGTTAAATATTCTAATTGCAAATTAACTAATTTACACCAGTTTTTAACAAAAAATAAACCTTTAAAAATTAAGAAATATTGCTTGTTGGAACATAATTAATTTATTCAAATTAATTTGCTTGATTAAAAAAAATTGTAATATTAAAAATGGATATTATCAGCTAAAATCTTAAGGCTTCTTAAGAGGCTAAACAAAAATTGGCATAACATCTTCAAAACAGGAAGAAAGTCAAAGAAATGTATCAAATGAAGGGTGTCCAAATGCTTGATAAGCCTGAGCTAGTCTGTAAATGAGATTTAAATCATTAATAATATTTTATCAATTCGACCTATAAACATATCTTTTGAAACATTAATTACTACTTGTTAACTTTAAAATTTAAAATTTTATAATCACACAACAATCAATAAATAACTAATTAATCAATTTATGCCAACTTAAATAAATTTTTAACTTGATAAACCAAAAGTTTCTGACATCAAAGAACCTAAGTTGAATTCTTAACAAGCTTCAATGTATTACTCTATGAAAATTGAATTAACTAAAAAAGGCTACTCTGATTTTAGGTTTTTAGGGTAGGGAGCACAAGGATTAGTCTTGTTAGCAAAAGATTTGAAAACTTAAATGAGATATGCTATCAAAGGTGTTTAAGTGAGAGATCTTTAGGGAAATCTTGATGATGAAGTTTATAGTAAAGTGGGATAAGAAATAGATATTCTCAAATAATGTAGAGGCTCTCCTTATGTAGTCAGTCTTTTAGATTCATTTGAAGGAAAATAGTTCATGTACTTAATTCTGAATGAGTGTTAGGGTACAAAATATTTTAATATCTATCTATTTAATTTACCTTGTTATTAAATAAGCATAAATACAAATTAATAATTAAACCCATTTTACAAAAAATTCTTAATGTATGGTATAAAAAGGAACTCTCACAGAAATTATAGAAAGTCAATTAAACAAAAGACTGAATGAAATATCAGCAATTAAATATGCTAAGGATATTACTGAAGGCCTTTACTATATTCACTCTAAGAACTGTCTTGTTAATGATTTGAAAATGGACAATATCTTAATTGACTACAATGGAAATGCAGTTGTTTGTAAATTATTAACAAATCTCAACAAGACTTTACACTATATATAATTTACAGCTGATTTTGGATTAGCAGATAAATTGACAGTTAAATCTGGTTATTCCCCCAATCAATATGTATAAATCAATCTCTATTTCAACACTAACAATAAATATAATTCATTCAATTAATAAAATTTTAAGATGGGAAACTTTTTTTATCAAGCACCAGAATGTCATGACCCAACTGATAAAATAGGTAAGGTTTATTATGATGAATATTAAAAACTAGGGGTTAAAGTCAAACAAGAACCAAGTAACAGAGTAAATACTTTAATTTAACTAATTAAATGCTAATTAGCTTATTTTTGTAAATTTATTAGAGCGAAGCATGTTCTTTAGGTATTAAATTAAATAAAAAACTATTAATTTCAATTAGCTAATTTAAAATAAATAAATAAATAAATAGGATATATAATTTATTCTCTTGTTTAGGGAATAGATTTCAACTTAGTGCTTAATAAGCATAGGGCATTGAATTATGATGGTGAGTTTTAAAATTTTGTTTATCACAAAAACCTTTAATAACTTATTGATGGATTAACTTAATTTGTCCCAAGGAATAGATTGCCCATTAAAGAGGCTTTAATTGTTTTAAAAGGAATTATTTGTTTAGAATTTTAGTTAGATGAGATGCTTATTGAGATGATAGATGGAGATACTTAACAACTGGCTAGTTCACTCAAAAATGATATTGAGTTCGTTTAGGATTTGTCAAATAAGTTTTATCCAATCATGTAAGATAATATTTTAAATCTACTGCTTTTAAAAATTTTTTAAAGTAAAAACTAGCAGATCTTAATCTAAGAGTTGAATGAAGACCCTCAAAAAATAGTTTATGTTATTAATTAAAATTTTACTCAATCAATCCACATTTTAATCAAATTAATTCATAAAAAAGGAAGCAAAAATAGCAGAATTAGAGTAAGCAAATTTCATGCTTAAAGAGACTATCAGCTAACTAGAAGGAAAAATTAAAGCTTTAATAGACAAATAGCAAATTTAGGAGGAAAAACTAAAAAATTAACTGTAATTACAAAAATAATGTTTTTACAAAAAAAAGCTCAATAAAAATATTATTAAAATAGAGAGTATTCATTTTTTATTGTTTTAAACACAACAAAGTTCTTTAATGTTAACACTTGATAGCATGTAAGTAATTTTTAATTGTTCTTTATTAAGAAAAAAACTGATTTTTACTTAAATTAACATAAAAGCTAGTAATTTCTTTTTATTAGCTTCTCCGAAATAAGATTTAATTTAAAATTAATTAGAAAGCAATCTTTCAATTGCTTTATTTTTAAATTATTTATTTTTTTATCCTAAAATAGCAAGTAACTTATTTTAATCATCAATTTCCTTTTTAAATCATCCAAATTTATATTAGTACACAAAATAAGATGTAATTTTTTGTAATTAATTTAAAGGCTAAACAATAAAATTTATTTTTATAATAAATAGGAAGTAAATAAATTCGAAAATTGATTATCAATTAATTATTATATACTTTTAGAAGGTCATATTTTTTATTTTCACTAACTACTTCTCAATTTAAATCTTTCACCAAATAGATTATAATGTCTCATATATGCATTCCTTAAAAAACATTAAAATCTACTTAAATCATTTTTATTTTAAATTCATCAATTTATTTTCAAATTAAAAACAGGTAAAATATATTTTAAAATGATTTTTGATGTTATAATAAATGTTAAATTATCTTTTGTATTCAAAATAGAGCGTAATTAATATTTTAGAATGATTTTTGATGAGAAAATAAATGCTGAATTAACTTTCATATTCAAAATAGCAAGTAATTAATATTTTAAAATGATTTTTGATGAGAAAATAAATGCTGAATTAACTTTCATATTCAAAATAGCATGTAATTAATATTTTAGAAATATTTTTGATGAGAAAATAAATGCTGAATTAACTTTCATATTCAAAATAGCATGTAATTAATATTTTAGAAATATTTTTGATGAGAAAATAAATGCTGAATTAACTTTCATATTCAAAATAGTCCGTAATTAATATTTTAGAATGATTTTTGATGAGAAAATAAATGCTGAATTATCTTTTATATTAAAAATAGCATGTAATTAATATTTTAGAATGATTTTTGATGAGAAAATAAATGCTGAATTAACTTTCATATTCAAAATAGCTCGTAATTAATATTTTAGAATG